CCCCCCCCCCCCCACTCTTCTCTGCGGCCCTGCAGCTGAGCAGAAGGGCGGACCGTGGTGGACACAAGCAGTAGAGTCTGGACCCTGGACTGATGAGACCTGCAGGACTCCTAACGGGACTTTAGGTCCGACAGTAAAAGCAGACTGCAGATCCATCTGAGTGCGGTTCGGTGAGGTTCGGTGAGGTTCGGTTTTTGTCTTTTTGCAGGGGGGGTTCCTGCGCAGCTCGGAGGCTCCTGCTGCGCATGAAGGACTAAAAAGAGGGGGGGATGGATGACCTCCCAGTCATCTGATCAGACTCATCGCGGAGGGACAGTCCGGGGACAGAAAGACCTATAGCTGAWCAAGATGATGTCATTAATAGACCTGGACGATGATCAGAGGTGGGTGCCCACGCACGTCAATGTCACGGTCCTCCGCGCGAGGGGACTGCGCACCAAGGGCAAGCACGGCAGCCGCTACCTCTACACCATCATCCAGGTGGGGAAGGAGAAATACACCACGGGGCTGGTGGAGAAGGCGGACGTGCCCGTGTGGAACGAGGAGTGCTGCTTCGAGCTGCTGCCCGGGATCCTGGAGGTCGGCGGGCGGAGCGCGTACCCCCCGGGGAGCGGGGACCTGGTCCTCACCGTCATGCACCGCGTGCTCATCGGACTGGACGTGTTTCTGGGTCAAACCATCGTCCCCCTGGACAGGATATTTCAGGAGGGAGCGTGTCCAAGAGAGGAGTAGGTTGGCTTTGAATTTATGCACGCAGGTTGTTGTTGTTCAGTGTCCTGATCCGTCATGTGCACCTTTTAAAGCAAAAAAAAAAAAAAAAAAAAAAAAAAAAAAAAAAAAGCAGCTGACAACCTGATCTCCTCCCAAAAGAAAAGCCAGCAGTAGAAGCTGTCAAAGCTTTTTACCCTCCAGCCTGTTGACTTTTCAATTCTGTGCTCTGATTCAGCAAGATGAGCTGCAGTTTTCTCTGGCTCCAGTCAAATCTTTAGAGTCATAAAAATGCCATTCCTTCAGCTTCCAGAAAGCCAAGAGGACACTCAAAATGTAGCTACTTGTAAACAATTAGTAACCAATTTCATGACTTCCTGCCTTTTCAGTTAAAAACATGTTCCCACTTTCTTCAACGTTAACGCTCAGATGTGACACAAGATACAGAAGAGTCATTATTTTCAGCCGGATTATCTTAGAAAGTTGATAACAAATTTTAGGCCTACATCTTATTGTTATTATTTTTTTACAAACAACTTTCTGCTAATGCACATAAAATGACAGTTCAGATGGGGTTAAATGGTCCACACCTTCACTTCTCCACGGTCCTGCATGTTTTACTTGATTCAGTGATGAAATGACTTCTTCAAGTTCTYCAGAAGCCTTAATCACCCATACATTCGAATCAAGTGMGTTGGAGCAGAGAAACCTCTAAAACCTGCAGGATTAGTGGCCTTTTAGCACCAGAAGGACACAACCGCTAGTGTTTTACCCAAAAACGTCTCTGCATTTTGCAGATGGTGGGAATCAAACCCTCAACCCTCCAACTGAAACATAACCTCCTCCCTAAGCTAAAACTGCTTCTTYGGAAAGGTAATGAACAATAAATACCTTACCTGTTGTCAGCTGCCTTAAAAACACTCCAGTCTATAAAACACTTTTTAAAAAGCAGTTTAACATTTGCATCACKGTCATTTTGGCATCACTTGGTTATCTGTACTGAATTTTATGGTTCTTTGAAAGTTCAAATAGTGGCAGCAGCTACTTCCTCAAGCAGGCATGACTGAGCAACACTCTGGGTATGCTTTTGATGAGGGAATGACATTATGACATAATAAAAAACTCAAAAAATTAGATTGTGTTTAAGACCCCCCTTATTTCTGCTGGAGTATTTGTGTAAAGAGAATCAACAGTGTTGTTTGGAGAGTTAAGTTAATTTAAAGGGGCAACATTATGTGTTCCTCAGGCATATATTTAAATTCTATACCATAATAAAGTTACTATGTCACCTTCAGTTGTTGTTAAAATGCTGTTTATACGTTTAAATAGGAAATAAACTTGATTTCTCATCATATCTGTTTCTAAACACCTTGAAACTGGCCTCTGTCTCTTTAAGAACCACCTTCCGTAGCTGTCCCACCCATTTCAGCACAGGCCCGGGTGTGTGTGTGTGCTTTGTGATGAAGCTCGGCTTGGAGACACAGCCCAGAGGAGGAGTTGATCCCAAAAGGCGATTCTAGTCCCAACCAGTCACTCTTGCTCCCCTGCCTAGCTGCCTCAGGACAGCACAGGATTTCTCAACCATGCATGAATGAGTCAAAGCAAGGCTTTTGGCATGTTTTTTTTTTTTTATGAAAGGATAATATTATAACATGATATAAAACTCAAAAAAGTTGATTTTACCTGATATTGCCCCTTTAAGTAACAGCTCTGGTCTAGATGTCAGGTTTGTCAGAAATAAACTATTTCTGTAAGCTAAAGTGGCTCAAAGCTACTGTATCTACAGCAGGTAAGATATTAACTGTTCACTGACAGAGGAATATGCATCTGTGTTCTTTTTGTTGAAGTCCTGCTTGACCGTTGAAACTGTCTAACAGCATTGTGAGGCTTTTTGCAGAGTTTTGCCTCTGGCTGACTCACCATTTCAACAAAAAGCACCATTTGTGGCCTTTCTGTCCTACAAACACGTGTGTTTAATCATTACACTTTAGGCCTGTTTGGAAAAAAAGTAATACAGCTAAATGGTGGTGAGTCTACTTATCTGGGTCAGGAAAACTTTGGAATGTGCCGCCTGCATTTTGTTTCATTTGTTCATAAAAGAAAAGCTTGGAAATTGATTCAATTAACGTGTCARTTAGGTGACAGGTATTACATGTCAGCTTATTTTTCACTAGTATCCAAGATAAACAACTAGCTTTAGATATCAACTTCAACGGTGTCTGACATTTTCAAGATTATCATTTACAACAAAGCAATATCCAGAATAAGTGATGTTTTATTTTTTAAGCGATAGAAAAGGCACTCATTGTTATGTGAAACAGTGAAGAGCAGAAAGGAGTAAAACAATTCAACACATCTGGGTTTAATCGTGGATTCTCCGCCCTTCATGAATTCCTACTGTTAGTTTTGGCTCATGATGTTTTCTGTGGTCCACTCCGAGCCTGGAAGGCACTGACGGAGGGAGGATTTTATTAGCTGAGCCCTGTTTTTATTTTTATTTTTTAGTAGAATCTGGGTTGGGATTTCCTGCTGTGAACATTATGAAACAGCTGGTTAAAGGTCAAAATTTAAGCCCACCCACCCTGAGGTCTATTTTCAGATTTTGTAACATTTGGAGAGCTTCGCCGAGTTGTTTTGTGTCTCCACATGACTTGTTTTGCACCAGTTTTTGGTTGACGAAAAGAAAAAATTCCTAAAATATCCCGTTCATTTGACATTAGAGATCATAACGCCTCTGTTTTTCTGCAGATGGTTCAAGCTCAACTCCAAGGTGGGRAGAAAAGAGAAGGAGCGAGGCGAGCTCCAGGTGACGGTCCAGTTCACCCGGAACAACATGACGGCCAGCATGTTCGACCTCACCATGAAGGACAAGCCTCGCTCCGCGTTCGGGAAGCTCAAGGATCGCGTCACGGGGAGGAAGAGGGGGGACGTGGAGTCCTCCTCGGCCATCGTGCCGGGCCGCTACGCCGCCTTGTCGGGGTCCGTGGGGCAGCCGTTCGGAGAGGAGGGACGGGGTGCGGTGGAGTCTCCGGGCGTGGAGACACCCGAAAAGAAGAGCAAGATGAAAGACTTCTTCAAAGGGAGGCTGCAGAAGTCGTCCGACACCAAGTCGTGCTCGTCGCTGGCGTCGGAGAGCAGCGTGTCTTCCATGGCCAGCGATAACCTCGGCTCTCCGCCCAGTCTGGACCTGCTGTCAGAYCCCCCCAGCTCCCCCGTCTACACTAGCAAAGTGAGAGTGGACCCCCATTATGGAGAAACAGATTTAGCTAAAAAAGGTAGGCTTTGTAAAACCATTTATTCATTCAAATAAATCACAGCAACAATCATGATGGTGGAACAGGAAACAGGCCAACACTGCAGGTTTTCACTCAGGAGTTAGGGACAACCAAATACAGCATGAACTAAAAAAAATTGCATTTCCTGCAAAAATGCACTGTTAGTGCTAAATACTTAAAAAAAGACTGAAACTAGTTAAAATAGTTTAAAAAAGTAGATAAAATTAGCGCAAATAATAATAACTAGAGAATTTGCATTTCCTACGAAAATGCAAGGGTGAATGCCTGTTGCGCAAAACATAAGCTAAAAGCTAAAGGTAGCAGAGTCAAGTTGAAAGTAGCACCCAGATGGTGAAATGGAAGTAAAAAATTAAAATTAGTAGGGAAAAACCCCATAAAAAATTGTGTAATGTGATAATTTCAAGTGCAATAGGTAAAACAGCCGAAGTTTTCAGTGCGACAGCTAAAGGTAGCAGACTCAAGTTGAAAGTAGCACCCAGATGGTGAAATGGTAGTTAAAAATTAAAATTAGTAGGGAAAAACCCCATAAAAAATTGTGTAATGTGATAATTTCAAGTGCAATAGGTAAAACAGCCGAAG